CCTTTATTATCCTCCCTTTATTTTAGAAATTAAGTACCACTGGGAATACTACCTCTATCGATGAGCAGAAAAGCAAAGACTTATATTAAAAGCTGGTTTAGGATTTTTAGTAGTAAAAATGCTCAGCGTTTTGCTACTGAACACAAACTGCAGATCTCACCTGAAAAGAGCTGGATAAACAGTGTATTAAAACAATCAATATGCAACATTTGACTAGAGGAATACACTTCCCATTACTCTCCCAAGAAAGCTGCATGCAAATTACTGCTAAGCAAATTTTGAAGACAGATCAGCTAAACTTCAAGAAAGAACTTTAAGTCTGTAACATTTTTTTTTTGTGTGTGTATTTGCAATGAACTCATCCTAACACCACACGTTGAAGCTATTTTTATATTTCTACCACCAAGAACACATACATGGTCCCAATTAAAAAAAGCCATTAAAACTCTTCATTTTTATAAATGTAATAGGTGTAGAAACTTCGCTTGAAAATGAACGTTACAAGACTTAATAGTTGAAACATGACAAAATAAGCTCCCCACAGGTTTTTTTCTCTCTTCTAAGAAATTTATCTTTGTAACAGATACCTACAGACTGCTGTACGTACCATGATTAGTATTAGTCATCAAATCCAGTACATTAGGAACTAGCAACTCTCAATCACAGTAACAGATGCAGCTTTTTTGCATTTAACTGATTTATGTGGGTGCAGTGAAAGAAGGATATAAACATGCTTTTATCACTTTTTTAACATCAAAAAGGGTAATGCTCAAAAGCACCACGTTTGCTGTGTAGTCCCAAATAAAATATTTTGGGGTAAAATATATTGAGATGCTAAAAATTCCAGCAAGAATTCTGAGACCAGAAAAATACAGATAACATTTCAACTAAAAGAACTGTAAACACAGTTAAGTATGGAAAACAGCAGAGTACAACCGAAAACATTCAGTAACCATGTGCTTATGATTAAAGGGACCTCTGTGAATTTGAAAGGCATCTTCTGTAACTTTGTCACAAATGGCAACAACTACAAGACACAGATATAGAAATTACAGTGCTCCAAACGGTCATTTCAATTTCTCGGCATGTTTGGATTTCAAATAAAGTTCTTTTGAGAAAGAAGGCAAATCTCTCCAAAGACTACCTAGAAAATCTAAGGACTTTGAGACAGTCTACACAGGGAAGGTAGTAAGCACAAAGTGTGAATCTGCAAAGCTGACTACTATCTGGCAGGCTCCCTGTTAGCACACGTAAGCATGAGCTCACCCTACCTTTGAAGGAGAATTAATTACTTTTAAAAAGCTTTGTCTAAACTGTGTCTAGTGGAGTTTGCTCCACTTCCAATGGAATAAACTATCTTATGTTTGATGTACATTAAGACTGGTTAACATGGTGCATTAATACCAGACAGTTACACACAGTAAACACACAGAGTGTACAGTTAACCAGCTTTCCTGTGCAGGTGAAGTTTCAGCATGTAACACCACAAAGCTGCCTATTTCTGCGGAGAGGTGACTGAATGTCTGAAACTTGTCTATGTAACTAACACACCATACTTCTGCTTGCCAGCACATTCATACCACATCGGCACTCTGAAGTACCTAAACACTCCAAAGCTTCATAAAGGAACCTTTACCCTTCTAAGTAAAGACAAAATTGGAAGTATTGCTGCCAGCTTTAATGGAAACTTAAGCCAGCCACTGAAACACTTTTCCATTTTCATCACATATATTTTAAGTGTCGGCACTTGTAACATTGTCCATGAAAAACTCCTACAATACTTTAAGATGCCTAAGGATCTCACTCCGATGATAAAATTTGTTCAGTGATGACACAGCACAGTGTAATAACAAATGCAACACTATATGCAGTGCTCTGCTATTGTGCAGGATGGCTAAATATAAGGCTTGTAAGTGGTGCGGGGGGAGGAAAGTCTTAGAAGGTTGCAGAATAATCACTAAGTCTTAGAAAAAATTTTATTACTACTGTGGCAAAATACATCTTTCCTTGATGCAGGGGAGTCTATGAAATTATCCTTTTTATTGTTAAAGCCTGTATCTAGCGAAAGAGCTCGATTTGGAAAAGACTCTGAAAATGTGCTTGCTGCATATAACCATCAGCTCCCAGCACTCGGACTTCTGCTGGAGGTCCCTACCCTCTGACAACTACACCGGTGTCACACCAGTAACCCAAACTATGCAACCCTCACAGCTGCATTTCCATTTCTTTCTTTGGAAACAGGGGGGAGTGTACCTGCCATTTCTGGTGATTTAACAACACTGAGATAGAAATGCTAAGAAGCATATAGAAATGTCAGGGTTTGGAGCCTGGTGTTTCTGCTACACTGCTTTTTAGTAAGACAGACCTAAGAACCACTAGAAGTGTTAAGGGAATGAATGCATTTAAGCTGACTACGTGGATATAAAATGAGCCTAATCATTCTAGTGCCAACATGCCTGTCAAGAAGATGGGGCTTATGCGTCAGAGATGAACGTTGGCA